TAATTTACGGTGGTACCCTAAAATATAATCGACCAAAGTATTTCCATAATTACCGGTGATTGCCAATTTGGCAAATTCCCTAAACATGCCGTATAGTATCCCTGAATAAGGCGGGGTATTTCGTGAACTAAAAGACAAATCACTGTAAAATTTGCACTGCCTACGAGAAATCTTGGTGTCCTTCATTACGAACATTAAAAAATTACTACTGTACGAAAGGTACGTCAACGATACCTTTATAGTCTTCTACGATAACTCCAACTTCAATTGTATCTTACAAGAATTCTGTGATTTCCATTCTTCGATTAAATTCACAGTGAAATTAGAAAACGATTCATAGATTCCATTTCTGGACGTGGAATTAACAAGAATTAACAACTAACGTAGAACCCTGAAGAGATCCATCCACTGAAAACCAACGTGGAACGGCCAACTAACGCACTTATATAGTTGGATACCTTCGAGCCAAAAACGAGCTCTCTCATCACCGCACTAAGCCAACGCATTATAAAAGTCTGCTGCAGCGATTGCTTAGAAGAGAAGCTCCTCTTCCTCGAAAAGATCATGGCTCAAAATGGTTACCCAGCACGTTTTGTCGAAAAGAACATGAAACGTAAACCAAAAGTAGAGGAATGCGATTCAGCGCCGAAGAATACTATGTATACGAATCTGAACTTCTAGAGAGATTGGGCAGATGATATCCTAAAGAGGAGAATACCCAGCTTTTTCAAGAAAACCTTCCCTACAGCAACACAAGGGGTGACGTTCTCTAGCCCCCCAATACTTCGAAACAATCAGTGTGCAAGTACCAGTTCATCTACTCGTGCGGAGCTAGGTACATATGTGCTTGTATGCTCTTCCTTTCAAGACGTGTTAGGGAACATTACCCAGAGTGGCTGCAAAGAGAAAGCACTGGTTCAATCATAAATGCCATTATTGAACATCTGATCAACACCTCTCACAACATCTCAAATCAGTCATTCAAAGTAATTTACAAAGTCAACAGAAACCTACAAAAACCAGTATGTCTCCAAATTCTCTGTACTGCGGAAGCCCTCGCAATATGCATCAAAAAGCCAGAGCTGCGTGTTCAAAAGAGATTAGTCCAACCTCTACAACTACTATGGATCTAGTTCGGTATGTTCCCTAAGCCCATATTTTTGTTCTTTTTCATTGTTTTTGACAATTTTTTGTTAACTGTGTGTGATTCTTATTCTCTCTGTCTTCACTCAATTCATCCGATTTTTTAAGTTATAAGAACAGTTATTTTAAGTTTGTTTCCTTACTTTATCTGCTCAAATTTATAATTCGTTTAAAAAAACTATTTTAAAATTACATACTAATCCTGTGTAATTTTTGTTTCGAAGGCCCTCATAATCTGTATTTTCACCTCCTAACTCCCGCATCAAGTTGAAAATTATTATTTCCATTTGTTTTCAGGCTCTTTTATGTATGCACACCTGTACATCGTTATAATCCTGCGTAGTTTTGTTTCTGAGCCTCTCGTAAACCATATCTGGTTGAAAATAATTGTCACCTTTTATTCGCCTCCGTATTTATATGTGCAATCAAGTAAAAATTGTACCTATGTAAATATGTATTTCAATGCGATTGTACAGCTTTTGAAAATGAAATCACCGGAAAAACTTTGCAAAATTTCATCTCAAAAGCAAACCAAAAATACAACTTTTCCTTAAACCACCATAGCATCGGGATACGACGCTACAGTTGTTGCGTATACATTAAAGCCACTCCACAATGCCTACCACCTGAAAAATGCTAACACTTTATTCATTTCGTTAGCAAATTAGTTAACTGGACAAGGCTGATGAACTGGTATTGTAAATGCAGAATTTATTATTGATAAATCCTTTTTATTATGACCGTATCTGGTGTTGATTATTTCATATCAAAGGGTAATTGATGACGGATTTTTCGGGACGAGAATGTTTATATGAGGAGGAACTAGTTATTTTTTTTCACAGGTTGCTGTTTCCACAGAGTTCATCATTTTATATTAACTTAGAGGCGCTAGACTGATGACCAGGAATATATTGGTTCCGTATATTCAAGTTCACAGTAATGAAAGTAGCTTTCCATGTCATTGACATGATATCAAGAATCGAGTTATTAGGTCATTCGAACATAAGTTTTATCCATGGAAAATAAATGATTGCGATGCGGAAGACACACTAGCTGCTTTCAAACAACTGATAAATTGGTTAGTTTGCCAAACAGCTTCTACTTGCAGTAACCCGTGTGGCTTTCTGCACTCAATAACAGACTTAGATTATCGTTTATTTTTATTCCTTCCTTGGCTTTCACTGGCATGGATGTTATTGTCAGGCTATATTGCTATTGCCGTATCATTATCTCATTCTACTCATGAACACCATCTTAAATTTTCGCGGTCGTACTAACGCCTCCCCAGTTCATCGCATTTTGATTAGACAACAAAGGATGAAAGAAAAATACTGTAACGTCTACAAGACTATTGCGCTGGTAGTTATCTCAGTCTCAAATTTATCTTAAAACTTAAACTTTTCATAATCACCATGTGACTAGATTTAGCGCTCTGGGATATACTGTAACCCGCAGAATATTTTTGAAAGTTGAGCAAGATTAATTATTTTATGCTAACTTGTACCGACAGCCCCTGGATATTGCATCATCAAGTCAAGGTTACCTTGGACCTCGAGATGGGCTTACCAGTCGATTTTAGGCGCGACTTTCGAGCCGTAGGTTTCTGGGCGGCTTTTGGTAAAACTAGCAATAAGTTTTCACGTAGTATTTCTATTTCATGGATAGTGTCTAACTTTCATAGACTGTTAGAGTTCACGTATCTCTTAAATGTATCCTAAACGGTTGTAAATCCTACTTGTAGAAAAATGGGGAAAAGTGGGTGAAATGAGAATAGTCGGCACCTTGGGTTGCATTTCACTCACCTTTCGGCCATTTCTCAACCGATCGAAATTGCCCACTCTAGCGATGTTTATCTTTCAACTGGGTTCACATGCATTTTGCGAGGAACCAGATTCAGATTCAGATTATAAGGATAGAAGGCTCTTGTTGCCTATGTTAATCCTCGCGATATATATCTCTGCAGAGATCCAGTTTCTCTTTGAAAGCGTTCACCGATGGAGCTGTTACTACTGAATCAGGTAAGGAGTTCCAGTCGTTGACCACTCTGTGAGAGAATCTAAACTCCAAACGTATTTTATTCGACCTTGGTTTGAGCACCTTCTTCATTCTGGTCACCAGAAGAAGGTGCTCAAACCAAGGTCGAATAAAATACGTTTGGAGTTTAGATTCTCTCACAGAGTGGTCAACGACTGGAACTCCTTACCTGATTCAGTAGTAACAGCTCCATCGGTGAACGCTTTCAAAGAGAAACTGGATCTCTGCAGAGATATATATCGCGAGGATTAACATAGGCAACAAGAGCCTTCTATCCTTATAATCTGAATCTGAATCTGGTTCCTCGCAAAATGCATGTGAACCCAGTTGAAAGATAAACATCGCTAGAGTGGGCAATTTCGATCGGTTGAGAAATGGCCGAAAGGTGAGTGAAATGCAACCCAAGGTGCCGACTATTCTCATTTCACCCACTTTTCCCCATTTTTCTGCAATTTTCATTACTTTTCTTTACTCTGGCTGCACACTTTTTCGACGGACAAAGTACCCATGGGTACTTTCAAGCTTACTATAATGCTGAATTAAATCCCACTAACTCTGAAACAACTCTAACATTCTATGATGAGTAAATTCTGATTCTGTTCTGAAGTGGTTTGATCATGCACAAAGACTAGAACTCAGTGTTAGTTTTCAGCACCCTGTACTTCTTCTAGGCATTATCAGGAGTATATCAGAACCTACTGGGTTTACTTATCAGCGTTTTTCCAGCCCCACAGCACATACTCAGCACTGACTAACATTATTTGAGATGCTAATATCATTTTTAAGCTTTTACGCATTAATTAAGAACCCAGCGCTCTTCTTAAACACGAACAGCGTTATTTCAGTACATAGTGGGTAGACATAATATTCATTTACTATAAAAAAGCATTACCAACGCATAGGTGGTGCGTACTGATGAAGAGTCCCAAACTAGGACGAAACAGCTGTCCAGTACTCCCAGGTTTTCCAATGGTTCTCTAACTAATGTCAGCTCATGATGAAAATCCTGTAACCAATCAAATCTCTACAAACCAACACTTGAATAAGTTTGGAATTGTTGTAATCTTGGGTTCAAGAAGGTGAATCACGTTTTTATATCATCTACCCTGATCCAGCACGAAATATGTGATCCTTTGAGATGCGTCAAACAACGTTTCGTTTCTCCCGAACACCAAATGGATTTGTCAACGGCATTAAGTTATGGCACTTGTTGGGAAATTACTTTTTTTCAGTGATAATAATTTTATGTTTAAAATAGAAACACCTGTGGATCCCTGTCGCACAAGATAAATAGTTTAGACATTTCCATCATGGTAATTATAGAATAGAGTTTAAGCTTAAATTGCATTCTGTAAATCAAATAAATTCTTGGAAAATTTTTCACTTATTTTTTCTACGATTATCTGCGTAATTAATCTGATTCTCATCTTTGCATAGTCGTAAAATTCGTATTCTCCAACTTTTTTTCTTTCATCAGTTCAGGCGTGTTCTGTACTAATTAATAAAACCGCTATTTAAACCTGAGCAGTTACCACATCTTACAGATTCAAATGGTGTCAAACAGCTTGCCAACTTACAATAGTCCATCCCGTCATTTCTAATGTAATTTGAGAAATTCACATTGGCAATATGATATTCTGAGTCACTTGATTTATTATATTGTAAAGTGAAGTTTGTGAAATCTAGTTTGCGAGGTTCGCAAAAGGTTTAAGAATACGTTGAATGAAATAAAAGATTAATGTAGAGACCGAGAAAGGATCAGTTACACTGTGCTATGGAAGACATTAATTAAGAACCATCGATGTTAAATACTATTCTTTCTCTTTGATTTGCTAAAAGTATAAACTTTGTAACTGTTATCATAACATTTGAAAGTGTACGATGCATAGGTTTTAGGTATCAGGTTTATTCGTAGATGCAAAATTTATTACGTAGTCGCAAAGTGACGGTGACTGAAGAGTCTTGAGTCATGTAACCAAAACTTTTCAAACATTCTTAGCATCCTAAAATCACTCACATATTGTGTATGTGCCTCTATTTTACCCGCCTTACTAATGTATGTCTAAGTAGTTTTTATGCCTACTCGACTAATTATTCTGAAAATGTATTTGTAGATACAGTTCAATAGGTTTTAAATCTTCTTTACTTACATTTTAATTAATCCAGTATTTAAGCAAATAAGAGGTGTAGGCTTCTACCTTTCAACCTTGTTTATAATCAGCAAATGAATCACTGATTGCTAAATAAACTAGTCGACTTTTTAACTGCCACTGAGAATAGCTTCCTCGTAACAAAATATTGAAGTCTGTGCATGCATTCTGTGGCTTTTCGAGAACACTTTTTTGTACATTTTATCTTCGCCTTCATGTTTTGTATTATTTTCTAATAAAACATAATTACATTACATTAATAAATTGAAAAAATTAAAATACTAGGGGAGGGAGAAAACTAGGCAGCAATTATCTAAGGTTATGTGGTGCAGAATTACACTAGTTGTTTGATTTTAATCTGAGGGTCATCTAATCAACAAATGTCAGGTGAAGTACATCTTATTCATCTTTAATTTCTTATTGGTTTGTGTTATGCATTTTATTAAGCAGTTAATAATTAAGAAATAATTTTGGAGTATGCAGTTAAAATGTAAAAGTAAGTTCATGAAACTATATGAAATCTTCAGATTTTATACTGATTTCTTTAGGTTAATGGAAAGTCTGTGTACATTGGATTTATCAGGAAAAATTATCAGGTTTTCAAACTGTTATCTACTCATAGAAGAACATCTAGTAAAAGATGATTTGTGGGTTCGAGATGGAGTAATTCTTGATGGATTGACTGTATTCTTTTCAGAAAAGGCCGTAGCTGATATCTATGTTGATTTAAGTGGAAGTATCATTTCTCCCGGACTTATAGATTTGCAAGTTAACGGTGCATATGGATATGACTTCTCAAATCCAAATGAAAACACTGAAGAAATATGCTTCAAAGTCGCCAAAAGACTTCCGGAAACGGGAGTTACAGGATTTTGTCCAACTATTATAACATCACACCAGGAATCCTATACAAAACTTATTTCTGGATTTCAAGCCTATGAAGACAGAATAAATTGTTCTAAAATGCTGGGGATTCATCTTGAAGGTCCGTTTATCAGCAAAGACTGTGCTGGAATGCATCCAACCTCCCTCATAAAAGAGTTTGGAAGTGATCCTGTCAAGGTATCTTGTACTTAATAATTGTCACATTCTTAGGCTATTTCAGAAGTGTATGGTTCAAATCTTAACAAAGTTAGGATGGTCACAATTGCTCCTGAATTAGAAGGTGCTTCACTTGCAACAGCGCATTTAGTTTCACAAGGTATCATCGTTTCTATTGGTCATACAAATTCTGACGATAAGTCGGCAGAGTCTGTTTTATCTGCAGGAGCAACCTTTGTTACTCACCTTTTCAATGCTATGTCACATTTCCATCATCGTAAGGCTCATATTTTTGGCCAATTCGCTAACTGTAAGACACCACTACATATCGGTCTCATTGCTGACTTAATACATTCACACTCAGGTGCCCTCTGTCTGGCACAGTCGATCTGTCCCAAACATGTAACCCTCGTCACTGATTGCAATGTAGCATTTGGACTCCATGATGGCATGTACACGTTTGGTGTACAAAGGATTCAAGTAGAGGATAAAAAGTAAGTTTCCGTGTCTAACTTCTTATTGTTACAAGAAAATCTGTTCTTCTTAAGTAACTTTTATGTCTTACTGCTCTGAAATGCAAGTTAGGTGTATAAAATGTTGCCTGAAATTCGTTGTCAATGGAGGTATTTAACTGATATGAAAACTAATCGCTAAACTCAAGAAAAATATCTCTCTGATGACTTTCTGTCTGTCTCAGTTATCATGATCTCAGCTGACTAGGACAATTATTTCCTAAGTACATCAAAAAGATATAATATTTTAATGCTCGTAACTTGGATGTTCGGATATTGGCAACATTTGATCTATTTCGACAGGTATCTGTCTTAGTTAGTATCCTATTTATTGTCTTCTCTGTTTATTAAGAACTTCACACTTCCTCTAAGTTTTTCTAGTTTTTGAACCCAGTCACAGTATATCCTAAAACTGCATTTCACTAAGGATTTGTTATCCCCATTTTCAGAGGATATCAATTACTTAAGACCAAGAAAGGTTATTCATATGAAGACGAGTTTTTATGTTCAAAATTTTGAAAATGACAAGGAATGGGTACATGTCAGAAATTGGAAACGTTTTCGAACCATGTCACAAAAAGTTTCCATCCCAAGCATCCCTCCTAATCATGGAATATACACCCTAATTATTTGAGATCATTATTTACTGACTTCATATCCTAGTTGGTGTTTTATTTCTGCTTCTTGACTTTATCTTACTTCAGACAAAAGAGCTGGTTATGCATGTTTCAAAAATTTCGACCAATAGAAATTAATAACTAACTTTTTCTTGTTTAATATGTGTCTAATCTCAGTATTACTTAATCTGTGATTCCAGATAATGCAAAGAATAAAACATAGACATCTGTTTTCATTAAAGGAACATTTACTTTCGGTGACGATTGAGTAGAACAAAGCTGAATGCTGTACAGTGCATGTAACTTTTCAGTAAATGCATGGATACACTCTTAGCACCAGGTACAATGAAAGCTGGCAGATACTGAACAAAACTCTAAGATTCCCTCAGCAACCAGTTCACTATAGCCTTCTTTAATCAGCTGTAAGACATTCAATCTGTTAACTACCTACACTTTAGCTGGGTATTGGTGTAGAAGAATCCAGCAGTATCATCTTACGCTTCATAGGGGATAGACACACACCAACAGTAATTAAATTTTTATTTCTTGTCTTTGCTACAAACGTTTTCCTTACTCCAAATCGAGTTGGTGTTTTGTTCAGCCTGGTATAAAACAAACGTTGATTAGCCTGTAGCTGAAATTGTTAAATTCGCGATTCATACACAAAAAAGCCGAATCAAAATGACAAGTGGTTCGCGTTACCACGAGTTTCTTTTTAGTTGCCTCTTTTAATAACAGCAGAGAAAGTGGCTGAAAAAATGAATTCCCTAATTTCCCATGGTAGATAAATATCCGATTCCTGATGTCACCCGTAGAACACAAATGTAACTATAGGTTCCCAAATTCCCCTGCATTTCTCGACCATAAGGTGATGTTGGAAAGGTTTTACGCTTTATTCACAGCATACTGAATGCTCTGCATTCATCTTGCACTAAATTCTATGGTGACCCATTCTGTGATGTACCGACATTGAATGATATCCATAAAATTTGTCTACTTTCCATTTTCATCCAGCTTTATAGTAAATGTGCTTATAAAGATATCCGTTTCTGGTCTCACACGGTTGGACTTAGCCAGAAATACTTAACTTCACTCGAATTAAGCTGACTACATGGTGTTATGGGTTGAAACTAATGAAAACATGCAGTCTTCCGAAAATCTGTCTTAATAATTCGTAAATATTTGAAGTGAGCTTCTCACCTTCCAGATGTAAATTGCTGCTTTGGGTCTGCAGTGAACTGACTGTTGAGAATAAATTAGTAGTGTATGTCAACTATCTCACAAATTGGGAGACTACGTCCATTTTGTTGAATTTTCGATAAAATTAAATTGGTTAATTCAGCTACCATAAAATTTCACTACTTGTTATTCTGAAGGTATATTTCCGTGCCCATTAATAGTCGTGTGTATTGTGCAGCTTCATGTTTTGTCCGAACGTGGCCATTAAAGATAGTGAACCTACGAAAACTTCACATATTTAGCCAACATTTTCTTTTTAGCATTACTTAGGACTGGTGATTTATCAACGTAGGACTTGACAGGGAATTACAATAGTTCAAGTGGCCGCATCTCATAAAATACAAGGCATTGTCGTCTGAGTGATAAAAATGTGAAGTTTGTTTTCTTTTGTGAAACATAGAAGTCAGTCGAGGTAGTTACAAAACACTGTCGTATGAAGTACCTGATTTCTATCCGTCGTTCACCTCTATATTTACGGACGTGAATTGTCATCCACTCCTCATTTAGACTAGATTTATTTGAGTGAGAAAAAACAAAATTAGACATTCAACTATCTTGGTGGCTACACCAGTTTTCGTATAAGGAGAGTAAGCTAGGAGGAGAAGTTTATAAGTGATTATATTGAAATTCAGTACCTAATTGTGGTGACTATCTGTTGTGATTGCGGTCCAAACATTAAACAACAAAATATTTCACTATTTAGTGGTCGAATTTATCATAATATCTAACTCACCAACTTTATTGCTATCACTAACGATTATGAAGAATAGTGGGAAAACACACTGCTTCCATAAGTTATGCTTAAATACGTAGTATTTTTGAACTCCATAGCGGATGAAAATTACTTAAGAACAAAAGATGGTTTAAAAGGTAAGGTTTGTTAAAGTAGACAAAATCAACTTATGAATTCGTTGGTCTGGGTCACAAAAGAAGGCATAAACCCCCTGGCTGGACTTCTGAAGATGCTAAGAATTAATGTTTGAAGACTGTTTGTGAAGTAACTTCAAAGCAATCACTATGGTGCAAATGAATTCACATTTTGGCATCATCCAGTTTATGAAATTTTCCACCAGTCTTCATCTAATTATTCTCTTCTGTCTTCGTCCATTGTATTCCAATTACATTTCTTCCCTTACTGAAATGTATGTTTCTCGGAAGTAGGAAAACTTTTATTGATGCACTTCTTAGGTTAAGTTTTATGTTGGTGTAAGTCAATCAGCAGAAAGTTGGCAAGTTTCTAACAGCCTCATCTGAACTCGTAGACGGTAACGCAAGGTGACTGGTGAGAATAGCTTATATGTAAACTAACACGTTATTTACACGTAAAATGAGACCTAAAGTCCGTGAATTTAAACCTATTAAATGTAGTGTAATTAATTATAAAAGACAGTTTTATCCAGTAGCTTAATGCATCCGACTTCCTAAACGAACAACTATTTTCAACATTCAAACTCGCCGAGTTTAACACGGCTAGAAAGCTTTAATACAGTTAATTTGAGTTGGATGTCCCGAAATACTTAGTGTTGGTTGAGATTAGATAGTAGACGCGTTATCTCATGAGTAGCGTCACTCACCAACTGTAACTGCAGGTTGCAGACAGTGGATGTAGCTCACTGAGACGTACGTGAATACATTATTTGTTTGCTGATTTAATTAGCTTCGGCCAGTGATCATTCCATTTCATGAGGAAACCGTGTTTGTTAGATCTAAACCCTTACATATGTAGTAATGGTCTTACTGACTATATCCTTGATTATGCTATGCTTTACGCACGGGTATATGACACTAGCCACTGACGCGCTCTTAGATATACTGTTAAGCAAATTACTCTACTTTTGATTGCTTCACAGGCTTAAGCTACTGGAAATACAGTTGTCTTACGCAACAATTTTAATATATTGTAAAAATTGTAACAGTCTGAGAATACTATGACTCTGTATGTTACACATTTGTGAATCATTACTACATGGACACTCTGTCTTGGTGCTTTATTTACAGCTGATGCAACTAGGTTAAACAGACAGATCACCTGACATGTTTGCGCTGACTGCCATATCTGTTAGACAGTCTAATGTTTGCCAAGTATTTTAATGCGAACGCTGTTTTAGCATGGTGTACATATATCCAAGTCTCCATGTCTGGCACTACTGATTTCGGATGTATATTTGCGGGGGATGAAAGTTAACTTTGCTAAAAAGACGTAAGCAGTCATGTTGACTAAGACATAGGTCGGACATTTATAGCTACCACTTAAATTTTTTTTCCTTCACGTTCCGCAGTGGAACATAGGGCTTCAAGCTAGAAGTTTCTGTAGCAGTGTTTATTTTACAGGATGGGGTTGCTAGCCTCATGCCCAACCACTTAAATACATGTATACAATTCCTGCATTCACTTTAATTCATTTTACAAAGCATAAAAGGATTGCCATTAACTTCTTGATTTTATTTTTCCTAAATTATTCGTGGTTATTATTTTTTTTCCGCACCACTTTAGAGCCTATTTAGCTGGAACAGATTGTTTAGCCGGAGGAACTACATCTTTGTTAACATGTGTCAAGAATTTCTGGTTAGAAGTCATGTACAACAAAACTGATCCTGAACCTAACATTCCTAAAGAATGGGCCGGACTTGGATATGCATTGGCAGCAGCTAGCACAAGACCAGCACGCGTTCTTCGTCTCTACAGTAAAGGTGTAGCCACCAACACCACCACCCCTAAGACACTATCAATTTCAGAATCTCACTTAAGAATAGGAGCCTTAGCTCCAGGTTGTTCTGCAGACTTCATAATTATACGACCAATAACATGTACAACAAGCCTAAAACCTGAGCTTAAACTGTTGTGTACATGGATTAACGGGAAACCTGCTTATCTCACTTCAGAACATGAAACCTACATAAAATTGAAAACTTGTATATAAACCTAGTAAACATGACATTAGGCATTTTTAACATGTTTTTTTTATTTTCATCTAGATTTTTAACATTATTTTGTTTTCTTTAGTTTTTAATTCACTAGCTATGTACTAAATTTATTAGGTACAAATATATATATATATATCTTTTTAGGGATATTCAAATTTAAAATGTTTATCAAAATATTGTTCCACTAGCTTATAGAAATGTACAATATATGGTCAGATAAAAGTCTGAATTTCTGAAGTTCGCAGAATGTTCCTAAAAGTTATGTTGCATCGTTTAACGTCAACGTATATCTAGTGCATATGGTTTGTATGTGATTTAAGTAGCAATATAAAAGTATAAAACAGGTATAATTTTTTTTAATTCATGGAAAATTCTCATTGTAACATATAGAAAATCAAAACAAGTGATTCAGCGAAGAGACTCTTTTCAACGAATTTATTATCAAGCTGTACAATCGTATATATATACGGTATTTAAGAAGTTATACCCGGTCAAGGATATGAATCATAGGTGTGAATGCATAAAATAATAGTAGAATGAAATGCAATTACAATATTTGTGATTGTAATCACGGGTAAATGTCAAGTGGCAAAACAATTAATGTCATATATAGAATAATTCATAGGATGTATAGAACTTGAAAGGGGTGTGCAGTTATAGGATTAGTAGGTAAATCGAATAAAATAAAAACGTTACGTAACATTGTGTGGAATTTGATTACATAGAATTTAATGTTGCAAAACAAAAGTGATTTAGAATGACAAGTGAAATAATACGGGGGACTGTTCAAAGTGAGAATAGTAATAGTAACAATTGACGTAATAAAGGAAGAGTATACAAATTGAATAGACAAAATGAAAAAATCGGTAGAGCCAAAATATGATTAGGGATTACCATACTTTAGCTTCAGCAATACAAATGAGTCGAGTACGTAGTGATTTCGGTAAATTACTTTTTGCCTTGTAGATGACTTTAGAGACGGAGGCTATAGAGATAGGGTGATCATTATCGACCAGATGTTCAATGATCGTGCTTCTTATTTCTCCACTTCCACCTCTTCGTAACCATGCAAGATAATGTTCTTGCACCCTCTTGGAAAAAACTCGAGTCGAACGACCGATATATCTAGCCCCACACGAGCAGGTGAATTGATAAACGCACATAAGGTTGGTCAAAAGCGGGATCCTGTCCTTCAGGTTATTGAACAGTAATGGTCGACTGGTAAAGGCTATTCTCAAAGATGCAGCAGGGAATGTTCATTTCAGAGACTGTGATATCCTTGTTTTCATGATATCGGAAGCTAAATCCCTTTTGAATTCCAAGCTAATGTACAGTATTTTCTTGGGTGCGGATGATAAGTCACGTTTCATAGGATTTGAATGTATATTCTTGTCTATAAAACGTGGTATAAAGTTGTCCAAGTGAATTCACTGTATGTCACAGCATTAATTTCAACTGAAAATAAAGGACTCATAATGAATTATGCAGTAGTACTATCACTAACCGTCACTCTATAACTGTGACCCCAGTACAAACAGAGTGGTTATTCGAAATTCGAACCATAACTACAACCAATGCTGTTAAGCGAATGCTTTTTGACAGTATGTCACTGTCACTGGAAAGGCGAGCTGGCATTCAGTCCTTATAGTTCTTCGACAACTTATCACACCCATAGACCGACGAGCCGTAGAATTACGTCACATGTTATTCTTAGTCACTGACTATACTAATCTGACTAATAGAAAAGCCGTAATCCTTTACCTAACCATTCTCATATATTTAGTTCACTGTTGTTTCTTCTTGCTTTTCAGTGCTATTTATTAGGAAGATAAGTTGAAATAACGCATTTCTATGCAAAGTTCTACATCGATCTACCATAAAGTTTAAATCAATTGAACTCTCCAGTAAACTTAGACAAGGTTATTAGAAGTTTATTTGGAAAATACGATACAGTTGTCTAATACATTTAGAACAATCTGATTACAACACCTACCTGATGTAAATTTATGGAAAAATTAGATTCAAAAGAAAAATGTAGTGGGAGATATAAGAGTAAAAAAAGATTACAAGGTAAAAAAAATAAGTAGATTATAATATCATGCCTAGTAAAATAATCATATAAGAACTATCATAGTAGATTCTGTGTGTGTGACTAAATTGTTTTCGTATACAAAGGAAGGAACTAACTGTAGTTAGTCGTTTCAATTGCAGTAGAAAATGTGAACAAAACAGTCAAATTTAAATGACATATTATGTTTATAAGCTTATTAGAATGGTTTATTTGAGGAAATTAAGTGCTATTGTTGAAAAATGCCTCAGAGAATGGATGTACAAGGCGATTCATCTTGAAATATGAAAGAGTAAATCCAAAAGACACAACACCAAAATATTGGTCTTTATTGTTGCTCCATACAACAGAGAATTAATATCGTAGCAAATCGATATCAGCGTGAAGTACGAAAGAAAACGTCTGCCTACCGCAAAACTTGCATCATTATACAAAACCAGAAGTTTATAAAGCCAAAACCGTACTGATGCACCGTTAAATGCATTTACTGGATTTACATGCACTTTCTCTGCTAATTTCACCTCACTTGAGAGGATTTCCCACGCGATTACGCAACCTCACAAGTTAGAAATTGTTTCCTGTCTTCCCTCCTTTTTTGCTTCATACTTCTCGAACCTTCTGTTTCGTAAAACATTTAGATAGAGGATCACTAAAGGTGGAAATTGAGATGCTTATTTTTCAATACTCTCCATTTTGGATCTACTAATTCACAATATTTTATATACCATCGTTTCGACATTTTAAATTTGTTATTTCAACTTAGGACAACTGTAATTTCAGAGGGTCTCCAGCTGATTAGAACTTGTGAAACAGAATGATATCTCCTTATGCTGCATATTCGGCTTGTCTTTCCACATCATGGAGACACCATATACCAGATTAACTAACTTTTCACCATTCAGCTGCACATATTAATTATTGCAACAAAGTTAGAACTGGATATACAGCGGTATTTTATAAAATTGAGACAAATGTAAAACTAAAGTGGCAATTAAAACAGATTTCTCCTTGTACTAGTGCAGATAATGATTGAGTAATTTAAGCACGAATTGAAGAATTATTAGAATTTCAATACTTTACTAGATTTTACTGTTGCCTATTAGGAATCGAAATCTTGCGACTATTATATGGTCACATAGTATCTGAAATCTTCAGAAAAATATTTACTAACTGACTGAGTTTCAACGTAGAAATTTGCACAGAAGTGTAGCCCCACACTCCATATAGCGCACAAACATACAGAAAAAGAACAACTACAAAGAGTAGAAATGTAAGGAAGAAAGAATACATGGAAAAACAGGAGGACTGAATGGATCTGCGAGATTACCGAGTGAATGCAACTGCGCCAGTGACAACCGTTATGAGCCACATCACCGACAGTCCCACACCAGTAACTCTTAGCATCTCAAGGACCCCAAACTGGGCGGTGTATACCTCCCTACCTGGCTCACACCAACTTCAAAAGACTTAATGGAGAGTGGCCAGGTTTTCATTTGACCACCTATAGCTCCTTCCCAACATAGTCCTATGTCACTTAACATTGTTCATTGAGGAAGACGGTGGCTTCACATACGTACCACATGTCCTAGCAATCCAAATCGATGCAGCTTCCCAACCCCGTCGATTGACTTCTCCTCCTTACCTAACATTCTACGCCTAACCTCAGTATTATTCATCGGATAATACAACTTAGAAAGTGAGACAGAACGGAAACACCAGTGGTCAAAGACAGCTGACCTCATCAAACATTTATACCTTCGATGACCAAGTCTCACAGCCACAAAGGACAAGGGGAACTATTGTGCGGTACTCACATCGTTCGAACTTTAGCTGGACATCACACCTACGCCAGAGATGACGTAAGTTGGCAAATGCCAAACGACATTTTCGTATCCGTGCTAAAATTTCGTCAACAATCTGCCTGTTAGAGCTGATACTGTGGTGAGAGCTGGCTGCTAGCCAAAGTTGGTAGACAGTAATTGACGTCAATGTTTATGTCCCCAATATTGGTGGTGAGAAAATGAGAACAAAGGCTTTGCGTAGGCGGATACTGTTAGTATATGGATGATCTGACACAGCCACAAAGAGATGCAAGGTTAACTTTCTGTGAGAAACAACCAATCAAAAGACTGTATTTTCTACTAAAAATAATGTACATTCAAATCTATAAATATGTGTTAATTTTTCTTAATAAACTATCTGTTGCCTGGCCCTTGTCTTCTGTTGTTACAATGCAACCTCCCAAATAAATGAAGTGATTAACAGGCTTAAATACGTCACTGTCTATCACTTGGAATTGGTGCAGACCAGTCCTGTAGCATCATCCTATATTTGACAGAGGCGAACCGATTGCCAAACACACAGATTTCTATTCGGAGTTCAGAAGAGCCCGTATGTTATCAGCGTCTTCCTTAAGGAGTACAATACCACCCATATACTGTAAGTTGACGTAACTGTTCTCTGGTAACAACTCAATCCCTAAGTCGCTCAAGTCGAACAGTGTCATATCAGTCAGCATACTGATGATGGAACGGAACAAAAACGCAGACACTGGGCATGTCTGACGGACACCACTGGTTATCATCAATTCAGATGACTACTCTCCATAAGCTCTTACACGGTTGTATGCGTTTGAGTAAAGTCCATTGACAAATGTCATATACTTTCTTGGTGCCCCTTCACGACCATACATTGCAATAGCACCTCTCGGTCAATGGAGTGAAAACCCCAACTTAAGGTCACGAAATACGACAAATGTTGGACGCGTGTTCCAGAATCTGTCGAAGGGTGAATATGTGATCAACACGCAACCCTCCCGGACTACAGTCTACCTGGTTTTCCGGAACACCGCTCAGTCTACGCATGATTACTGAACTTAGAACTTTAGATGCTATACAAGTCAAACTTATCCCCCTATGATCGACACAGGAAGACTTCTCTCCCTTATGAATAAGATTTCATTTTGACAAATCACACAGTGTTATACAGTAATATTAACTGATGACGTTTCGAGCACAAACTATTGCTCATAATCATATCAAGTTACTCACACAACTTTTTTTCTTTCATTTATATACATGTGTGGAATTGACTAGATATTTGAATAAAAATCAATATAGGATAATGTACATTCAGAAATAATGTGATTGATTGAGCAATTCATCACTACCATTTCTAAACACCTCTGGAGTCATTTCATCATGTCCCGTTACCTTGCTTCGTTTCAGACGGTTTTCGCAATCTCAATTACAGATGGAAGACCAATGTCAACATCCCACCCAGGTGGGTGTCGAATACTGGATAAGTTGGGCATGGTTGTAGGTCAGTCAATTTGCTCTTAGGAAGTTTCCTGTGATGTTCCACTCTTCTATTATGAGGTAATTAAAGTGCCGTTTTTCTCGGAGGTTGTCCCACTTATCACCCGTCTCCTGAATAGGTTTTTGGTGTTACCTACCACCACTGCCTTTTCAATTCCTTCCGCTTTTGTTGCCCACTACTGTTCACAGTCACTGAGGCTACTTGGTTAACTTGCGCCTTGGAAACTTTCTCTTCTCGTCATGTTCGGGGTCCGTTTGAATCAGTCCTCCTCCATCTACCAATTTAGATGAAGCAGCATAAATTCACAGTCATTTACTAACCTTTAGTTTCAGGCTATCAACAGTCTTACTAGTTGTCTCAGTGTTAACTTCTTCAGTTAGGAAAAGTGCTACCTCGGTATATTACCATTTTCAAGAAAGCATCCTTGAATAAAAGTAGAAGAGTCAAGGAAAAATGTCTAACAATGGTCACGTATTATCATCAAATTACATGTCAGTTGACCATAGCATGGATAAGACGACACAGTTATCGCATATGGCGTTACTATTGAGTCTTTAGGTTATTTTTTTGCTAAGTACGCAGTATTATAACTTATCTGATTGCAATATCCGAAATAACTCAAAATAATCAACCGTAATCGGTATGTAATCTTGCATCGCTGCGTGGTATATCAAATTACTTGCTGCATTATATAATCATGCACTACCAGGGATGCCCAAGCTTTATCCACATTTTAATGCGCAGTACACAGTGACATTGCTGTATTTCCTTCAAAAGTTCACGCTTGAAAAACAACTTAACAACAGTAGTCAAAAATCACTCATGCTTATCAAAACTTTCAGCCATACAGACCACTGTGAACTAGAAAAATGTTTTGATCAAAAGTACGCATATTACACATACTGATTCCGTTAGTTAGCCAAATGCATTTAATTTGTGCAGTTCGGACTGTCTAATGGCTGAACACCCTCTGGCATTCTGCATAAGGAATCAGTCAAGGGTAAAGTGTAGTTTGTTCGGCTTTCTCAATATCTAATCAACTACCAACAATGGGGTTTAGATCTAAACACCTCTCCACGTATTTCGGTTTGAGAGACTTGATAGTATCATCAGCCTATACACAATAAAAGTGGCTTCTTGTCTGGTATGTAGAAACGTACAGATTAGTGCGTTTCGTAACCACTTTACATGTCAAGTGTCTTATTCCTGCAATAGTATTTAACAAAAACAACTGGATAACGTTATAGAACTAGGTTGACTTGCTGACGTTAATATCAGTTTGCTAAGTTAGCCACTAGCGAAAATACAATAGAAAATTGAACATCTTACTGTCTGTCGCCCACAGTGTGCCTGAAGGCAAACACCACAAAATATCACTAGTGGCTCAACGTACTCAATTTTAAAAATTTACTTCAAGCTAACAAAGTAATTACGATACTCTTCAAAACCTCACTACTTTCGGTGAGTTTCAACTGAAGGTCTTTTGATGGTTTCAAAAGACTCCCTAATCTTTCCACACGCAGTTAACTGAAGACTGACACTGATATCCAGGGCAGACATGATTTAAAGATAGTCTTCCTACAAATAAAATACCCCATCTCTTCCCTGGCTTCGTTGCTTCGGAGTTTAGCCACTTTATGAAGAACAAAAATATCTGATTATTCAAATGAACAGCACTTTTACGCACGAGTGGAAGAAAAGCTTTTCTGACAAAAGAGTGAAGTAACACTTCTTAATTTGCGTGGTAGGCCTGTCAGGATTTTAAGCACAGCTGCATAACAAAGATCAACATTGGGGTAAGGCTAACAAAAGGTGATTACTTCGGTCTAAAAACGTTCGCATTGGTATGCAATCGGCAACGAGGCACGTTTATTTTGTGAATGTCAACGACAATATACTTGGCCGCTAAAACGTCAATAGACGAGGTGAATGCAGGACCCGTAAACAAAAGGTCACTAGTCAAGCACCTGCAGTTACAAACCACAACCTATCTACTGGACGAATTTACCATTATAAAGATGCACAACGCAAAAAAATACCTTGAATTACGACAGGCCTGTGATAAGCTAGCCAAATAGAACAACTTTCATGAGTTATGCCTATGCTCCCAAAAAGACCTGTTGACTAAGCGAAAATATTATTAGGTAAAGAAAGTTTGCAAAATATTTAGTGCTAATATAACTCATACAACTATGAATACATAGGATATAACTCGACAAAGTTAGACTGCTGCGGCACCAGATATGATTTCAGTAAGTTCACGTGTGATTGCTGCCTGTCGCGTCCGGTTGAAGCTGAGTGTAAGCCTATCTATCATTTCACCTAAACAGGATGCAAGGAGAAAAAATTAAAATTACCTGCATTCTTCGTAGCAGAATCCATAGCAGTCATTCGGGCTGACTGTTCACTAGCAGTAGCTTCTTTCAGTGCAGAGAATATGAGCGATGTTAAGAGAAACTCATTGTAGTTTTGTAGAACTTCATCATCTACTGAATCATAAATAGAAACATTTTGAGAAGAGCTTAATCCTTCTATGCTCAAGAGAGGCTGCATGGTGGGTATGTACGAAACAACTGACCTACAAAACGTTTACACGGAAACAACAATTACTTGAATGTGTTGTAAAACATTATTGCCTTATTAAATTTGTAATCAGTTGAAATTATAGCCTGAGCTATCATTGATGCATCTTCAAAAGTTGGCACTTTCTTTCCAACCTCGTTAACTGTCATCAAAAACATATCACGATACTGTCGTAGCATCATTGCACGAGATTTGTCTCCAACTAGGACCAACTTGCATGTTTTCTCTAACTCCGTATTATTACGTATCTTTGTCCTGATCGCCTTCACAACGCTACTATTAGCCGCACCGCATAGTCCTCTATCGGAAGTGATGGCGATAATAAGGTCGTTTGCGGTGGGTTCAATCGGCTCTGCAACTAACTCTGCAGTTTTATAAAAGGCTTCAACAGTTAAAGAAACTTGTAATATGTACCTCTTGCTCCTTGACCATAAGGTCTGGCTGACTTCAAGTCCCGTTCAGCTCTAGCAAATTTCGAAGCTGATACCATTTTCATTGATGCCGTAATTTTTTGGATGTTCTTGACAGATTTTAATCTTACTGCGATATCCTTCAAAGTGGCCATAGAACATGATTGCTGACCGAAAATGGGGACTACGCATTTCGCCGCAAATAACATCGCGCCAAGAAGATTTACATATGACCTGAAAATTGTCAGATGTGTTTGATTGATTAAAACGCGTCGGTAAGTGTATTTATCAGTAATGATGAATATGATGCAAGCATTGGTATAAACTGAATTACTGTTGTAGGTAGAAGCATTATTGATGCTATAATTCGCTTAATGCCTTCCGAGCGAGCAAAGGATTTCAGCGTTACATCTTCACTGCAAAAGGCTCTGTTCTGTCACTTTCAACTGGGTCCACAATCTTTCATTTCCTCTTCACATTATCCCCATGTCACTTTTAAACTCGCCACTCGTTGAGTTTCACCTGGCTCATATTAAGTGCCTGCCATATAATATCATTTGAAGTTCTAAGCACAGTTCTCATCGATTGCTCTTTCCTCCCACATGTTTTCTAGGCAATGTGATGTTGGCTACTTAGCTGCCTGCCAGAGTTTCGCAATGCATGTCCTTTCTGGTCGTCCATCTCACATTCGGAATCGAGCGATTGTAAGTGCTGATCAGTGCCTGCGGCCTACTGAAAGTGCCACTTTGACGAACTGCCAAGTCTCCGAAGTATACTGAAGCCCTGTGTTGATTAAAACTGATAAGTTCCGATCTCGTTCCTTGTGCTGGGTTTTGTTGACCCCTGCACTTTATTCTGAATAGTGGATACCCGTCAATCTTCCTCTATCGCCCCGATCCTGCCTGTCTTTGACATCCAGATTCGGGCCACCTCTCAAGTCAAAATGATATTGCCCAGTTCGCGTAAGTGCAATAGGAGGCACTCGTAGTTATCCTTAATTGATGGCAGTCACTGTTTAGTATTGCTGATCGTCGGGAATCATAGTCACCCCAATTATCTCAGTCCTTATCAAAGTCTTGTTTTCGTTAGTCCTACTGCATACTAGTTAGTCTTCGTCTGTAAATGTTCGGTTTTGTAATACATGAGATGTGAGTCATCCCTGAAATTGTATTTACGCAATTTATATTATAAGCAATATTAGAACAAGACATATAAGCGAACAATATTGTTTTCAATTAGATCTTCTTCAGGCTTTACTCTAATTTACATAGATTTATATATAAAATTTTAACCAATGACGGTGATTTTAGAATCAAATAATAATCTTAATAGTCTTAATAATAATAATAATGATAATAATAATAATGTGGTAAATGTTTTGAACATAGTTAATAACGATGATTATAATGATAACAAAATATTGATAATAAGGTTTATGCAGGTGATAAGAATAACAAAGATAGTATATGTATATAAGTGTATAAATAAATTGGGTCAAATCTTAAAAGGTGAAGTGGAACGATAATCAGAGTTTAAATAAATATTATAAAAGTACAAAGAAGGTGGAAAATAAGAAAGGGTGGGAGGGTTTTGAATACAGTTCACCTAGGCCAAGGGAGAGACAAAGGTAGAACAAACTTCTTTTGTATGCAAAGACTAGGATTGTTCTCTCGAATTCCCATAGCTTCGGCTAGGTGTAAAAGACGGTTTCTGATTCCATTCGAAAGACTCGATGGAATACGATAGATAACTTTGAAAGCACTATTTTTGTCCACTTGGTGACCGCTATCAATCAAATGAGCCAAAATAGAACTTCGTATGGATTTTATTTGACCTTCCAGTCATTTTCCAGCCGACCAATTTTGATTGCTCAAGTGAAAGATAAGCTACCTAGTTGTGCCACCTCAATGTGTATCTATAAATTTAGTTGCTCCTGTGGAGAAAGCTATATAGGGCGAACAACTAGACAGCTCAACAAACGCATTAATGAGCATCTTCCTTCATGGTTCGGAAAAGGTCAAATAAAATCCATACGAAGTTCTATTTTGGCTCATTTGATTGATAGCGGTCACCAAGTGGACAAAAATAGTGCTTTCAAAGTTATCTATCGTATTCCATCGAGTCTTTCGAATGGAATCAGAAACCGTCTTTTACACCTAGCCGAAGCTATGGGAATTCGAGAGAACAATCCTAGTCTTTGCATACAAAAGAAGTTTGTTCTACCTTTGTCTCTCCCTTGGCCTAGGTGAACTGTATTCAAAACCCTCCCACCCTTTCTTATTTTCCACCTTCTTTGTACTTTTATAATATTTATTTAAACTCTGATTATCGTTCCACTTCACCTTTTAAGATTTGACCCAATTTATTTATACACTTATATACATATACTATCTTTGTTATTCTTATCACCTGCATAAACCTTATTATCAATATTTTGTTATCATTATAATCATCGTTATTAACTATGTTCAAAACATTTACCACATTATTATTATTATCATTATTATTATTATTAAGACTATTAAGATTATTATTTGATTCCTAAAATCACCGTCATTGGTTAAAATTTTATATATAAATCTATGTAAATTAGAGTAAAGCCTGAAGAAGATCTAATTGAAAACAATATTGTTCGCTTATATGTCTTGTTCTAATATTTAAATGGGAATATTTAAAGATTTATAAGCAATAGTTTGCCAGCAGCTTGGCTACAGAATCAACTTTATGGCCATCTAAATCTTGCTCATGATTCCTTCACTCCGTTAAAATGGGTGAGAAAAATATCTTCATAACCCAGTTTCGTCCTCGAGAAAAATACGAAATCGTGAACACTTTACAGATATAGTTATTTTCCATCACTCATTATACTCAGACACATCTACTATGCATACAAGTCTCATCAGTTATTTGAGTTCAATAGACAAGAGCAAACATCGAACTCACAATCAGGCAATGCGAAGTCATTAGTAAAACTAGAGAAGTCAAGAATTAATTGCAGTAGGATAGGTTTGAACTATAAAAGTCCTCTGCAAAGCACCTCAAAATATGATTATTCAGCTGAAGTTCTACGTCTTCCAAAACGCTGTCTTATCCTGGATGACCGGTCTCAATTAGTGAAGTTCTCAAATATCTATTTATTATCTAGACCCATATGAAGTGGAGTGATCCAAGGTGGTGTGCCAGGGCCATTGCTTCTCTGAAATTACATTAACTATCTCCACAGTATGCTTCAATGTGGTATACCGTTTCTCTCTGCTAATGGCTCATAGATTAAATACAGCTTCCCTCACCCGATCCTGAGTAGAGAATTCATACGAATTCAAGAAGACTTGAATGAGCTATGTAACTGTAAGGATGTCTGGCAACTTCCATTAAGTGCCACTACGTATGTAGCCAAAAACTTATATCTATATGAAATAAATAACACTATTATACAGATCATTCGGGGTAATTCGGTCAGCCCAACGTGTCACAATGTTCTCGCGCTCTGCTGTCCGCCATATGTTCCTGTCTACTAGGAAAGCCAACTGTGAAAGTAGACAGCTTTGATTTACTTGTGTTTTCATTTTGCAGGCTTTAGGAGGATTTTCGTTGTGGGCCCCTCCTCATGTGGCATTATAATATAGCTGTTTAACAAAGTTTTCAGACATTCACAGCATGCCACCATATTGCAGCAACCTCCAGGCTGTTCCCTGCTAAAAGTATTCTAAGGCGGTGGCCAAGTGGATGGAGTTGAGCAAGTTGGTTGGCTGCCATTCAAGACTGTGATTATTGATGCACAATAATTCAGCCTGGCCCACGTATGACACTTTTTCCCAAATCTAGCCTGTTCCGGACAAAGTCTACCACCGGAGGCATCTTGTAGTCGCTCCAGATTGATGCAGCTTACTGTTTAGCTCATTTTGGACGAGAGAGCATTCCTCGCCAGTTCTTACTTAGACTTGAGTAATCCCCGTATAGCGTCCTGACAAGGAAGCTTTTCCTGCTGTCGGCAGCTAACTCTCCCTTATCTGACACCTACCATGATGGAGTGAGTATTTCCGATGAGATCAATTTCTAACACTTATGGTTGGATTATACTGCCTATTCAGCTTTCAGTAGCTGTAATCCCAGCAAAACATCTGATTCAGTCATATAATTGATGTTCACTGTAAGTAATGTATCTCTTCGTGATATTTCTCAACGAGTTGCAGGTAGTGTTCGATTCAGTAACCATTCCAGTTGGTCAGCCTCCCATATCCCCCAACTCACAAACTTGTTGAGTGCCTTTCCATCAGTAGCTTACACTGAAAAAACCATTATTATTCTCCCTTCCTACAACTACCTTATTGTCATATATGGTGTTCAGAAGTCCCCCTGTCCTGTTTAGCCAAACATCATATTCTTCTTATTCCTTTGAGTTCCGAGTGGAACACAGGACTTCAACAACACATCTCCACTTTGTTCTATTTTCTGCTATCCTCTACGGTTGGGTCCACGATTGCTCATAACCTCTCACCTCCTCCTCACACGATTTTCTGCACCCTGTCAGCATAAATAACAAGATTCGGATTTTCAACACAAATGCGAAGTCATTCGTTTCTTTTGTACAGGTCAGAAACCTGAACTGCGTGTCACGGAAAGGATTTCCAACAAGTTACAGACTTTTGTCAACAGCTGCCACCTTCACTGGTTCCACAATGAAGATCAAATTGCCAACTGGCCAGAAAGAATTAGCAGCAAGAAACTCTGTCTGGGAACAAACCAACCAAGATCCGATCGCTCAACAAATATGCAGGAGAAATTGGAGGTGGATCAGGCATACATTGAGGAGGCCATCGAATGACATCGCGCGCAGTACAGTCTATCGCTCGAGTGGAATCCCAATGGGAAACGACGAGTGGTTCGCCGGTGCAAGTGTGATGTGGAGGAGATCGTGTGAGGAGGAGGTGAGAGGTTATGAGCAATCGTGGACCCAACCGTAGAGGATAGCAGAAAATAGAACAAAGTGGAGATGTGTTGTTGAAGCCCTGTGTTCCACTCGGAACTCAAGGGAAATTTAATACACATGTGCTGACTTATTACCTCAAGTTCAGACTTTTAGGTATATTTATTGGTATTATTCGCTTCACCTTCTATGAAAGGCCTCTGCGAAATGTCAAAAGAGGAACACTGGGAAGTCAACATATTCAAATAAGTCGACAAACGTATATTGGAAACTGAATGTGACTAAAGATAGGATTTAAGGTGGTTGTTTTGTGTTTAGCGCTACGTAAGGTGTTTTCTGGTATTTGGTGAATATATTTTCATATTTCTTTTGGATGGTCCCGGAAATCCAGTATATCACGTTAAAAAACCGGATTATTAGGAAGACTGGCCACTCTAGATCTCGCAGATTACCTCTAAAACCATAAATTCGTGTGTGGTAAAGACTAGTTCTAACTGCATTTGACGGGATGACCCATAGGAAAATTTGTTGGACACACTACTGAAACTTGAAGTGATGAAGCAACAGTTGTTTAGAGCAGGAGACCTATAACTATTCTGCAAAGTATCCAAACCCTTAGATTAAATAACAACTTAAATTGGTATGAAATTTCATACGCTTCGCGAATCAGTAGTTTAACATCCTACGACTTGTATAAAACTGAAAGTATGTAATACTTTCTCATGATGATGCTATCAGTATCTTTCACAAATATCCAGTTGTTATGTCTCCCCTCAATCATATCTATTCCTTGCGCTAACATTGGACTTCAGATTCAGATTTATTTGTTGAGGATTGAATGCTTGGAGCCTATGTTAATCCTTTTCTATGAAATTTCTGTGGTTGTCGAAACCCTTCATGAATTAATCAGCTGAGGTTGCAGGTACCACTTATTCTGGGAGTCGGTCGCAAGAGTTTATGACTCGGTGTGAAAACCAGTACTCAACACCAGTATGATTCCTTATCGGATTTTGAACTCTCCTGCTATGTCCTCTAAAGTGTTTCGGCCTGGTCGGAAGAAAAAGAGAGAATAGGTCAGGTCCATAGTCGTTATTTAAAATTTTAAATATTGTGATTAAATCTCCTCTCTGTCTACGCTATGACAGGGAGAAGAGATTTAAACTGTCTAGTCTTTCCTCGTACGATAAATTAGTCATGCTGAGTATCATACTTGCTGCCTTCCTTTGAACCCTTTCTAGAATATATGAGACCCCTTTATGGCAAGTACTGGCTGCCTGGGTACAGTTTTCTAGTCTTGACCTCACCAGAGATGTATATAAGGAGGTGAACATATCTCTGGTGATTCTAGTAAAAGCTATCTGAAACTACGTGCGGCCACCGCGCGACAGTGTGCTATAGTCTTAAACCGTGACTAACTGTGACACCTAAATCCAAATGAGTCTGAACTGTTGGGAGTGTTATTCCCTCTATTCGTAGGAGCTGATGCTTGTTTGTCCGACGCGCATGATTGCACATTTTGCTACATTGATCGGGAGCATCCATTGTCAGGACCACTCTGACAAGTTGTTGAGTCCCTTTGCAACGTGAGAGTATTTCTGTTGCCCTTCAGCTCTCTCCAACTTTTTAAATCTGCGTATAGGACCATGTGGGAATCAGTGAGCAGAGATAACTCATTGATATCCAAAATAAATAGGAGAGGTCCGAGTACCGTGCCTTGTGACACTCCAAGAGGAGAGTTTCGTGTTGATCCTAACCCTCTACCTCCTATCTATGAGGAATTCACTAAGCCAGTTTAGTAACCTGCCTTTGATACCAAGACTTTCCAACTTCATGAGTAGTCTCTTGTGAGGAACTTTATCGAAAGCTTTGCTGAAGTCTATGAAGACGACGTCAACGGGTATTCTGTTGTCCCTTGATTTGACCCGGCTTTCTCTTAAAGTGAGGAGATTTGACAGGCATGAGAGGTTTCCTCGGAAGCCATACTGTGCTCTGGATAACAAGTTGTTATTTTCCAGATATGCCATGATACCTTTCTTGATGATTCTTTCCAGTGTCTTAATTAAAGTGCTGGCAATACTAATAGACCTGTAATTTGAAGGGCTTTGTCTTGATTCTCCTTTGTGGATGGGGGTTACTATGGCGTCCTTCCAGTCACGCAGTAACAGTCCATTTAGGAGAGATAGCTTGAAGATCGTGGTCAATGGGCCGGCTATGTGAGCTGATAGCTCCTTGAGAAGCCTTAGATGAAGATTATCAGGACCCATTGGTTTCCCTGCACCTAGTTTCACTAGGCAGTTGAGCACGATGTCTTGGTCGACGCCAAATGAATCTATCCCATGTTCCTCTGATGCAGCCAGAACTGATTCTATAGGGAGTGATGACTCCTGTGTAAAGACTTGGGTGAAGTAGTCTGCCATTGCTTCTGTTTTTTCTTGATCTTCGATTGTGTCATTGTCAATAGTCAGGTTTGGAACACCATTGGATATTTTATTCCTGAAGTTCATGTACGAGAAAATTTTCTTAGGTTGTGCTTTTTAAGTCCCTTCTCTGTTTTGTCCACCGTTCTACATTGAATGCTGCGACTTGAACTGCTGCACTTCTGTGAAAAGTTGTATGTTGAAACTCACTCAGCCAGATGGTTTAAATTACAATCTAAAGGAAGCTTTTTAGGGAACGTGAAACAAACTTGGTATGATATGGGCACTGAGAGATGCACCACACAAAATAATAAAATAGAAATGTAAGGAATGGAAAAATAAAATAATTTAACATCGAAAATGAGACAAGTAAACACATTTATTATGAAGATTCAAAAGGACATCGATTACCCATTATATCACTTCCAGAACCACAAAAAAGGAGGGGATTACATTATGCTGGTTATTGATGTCGTTTCTAAACCCCATCTAACAACGTTTCGAGTCATATGATCTCTCGGACTTCACCTGTGGAATCTTGATGAACCAATTCGCACTAATCTGAAAGATATCCTTCGCCACATCTTGAGGTAATCACCTCCGGTTTTTAAAACCATTTCCAGCGTCAGTAAAATGGTTAGGTGTATGAAAGCCGCTGAAATGACTTTTGTAGAACATGTTCCAGCCACTAAAGCTGGTGTTGCATGAAAACACGAATTACTGAACGATGATCCCCACCCTTTCCAAACACACATCATCAAACCTACTTGCGTGGAGATGCTTGTGAATGCACGTGGTTCTGTATGAACTGTGACAATCGAACAAGCATGGTCAGTGCTGATTTTAAGCTCAGGAACACTAGTTTGTACAAACCTGGTACAACAGTGTGCAAATCGAAATGTTGTAGGTCAGTTACACTAACATTATGAAGGCACCAGTGGTGATGCGGTTGGCGTATGACTCCTGTTTTTTCTATAAGATCAGAATTTTCATCCATCTTTACACCACCCAACATGTCAGCATGTATTTAGATGAAGCATCCTCAATCATATATCATATTTTGTAGAATGCTGAGCATTTTCCGTTAATTAGATATATCATTATTGTTTTTGTATTTTTAATATATATTCTTGTGCTTTGAAGTTTTCGTAACAGTTTGGTTGGTTTTGTGGTGTAGGGTCGCTAGCCCCACGCCCAATCCTCCCTCTTTACCCGGGCTTGGGACCGGCTAATAGACTAGGCTAGGTTAATTAGGTATATCACATGATGACTAATTCGTTAAGCGTTAATATCTTACTACACCTTGTTGTTTATACTAGTAATACCCAAGGCGTTTCCATGTCACACGTCTTATATTATGAAGCACTACATATAATTTTTATTAGCTGTGTATGACTATGAAGTTTTAAAAAAAAGCCATTTACTGTCTTAAATTCAAGGGTTTTACCATTTGTAGTAGAAACTATTTCAACAATATCATACTAACAAAATAGTTAATTTTATTTTTAGATTTAAATAATGACTACAGCAGGAAGACCAACATGGGATACTGCTAAAGGTGGTAGAGGAAAATGGGAAGGTGATTTAAGCGCCTTATCAAAACAGTACTCTGTTCGTGACTTACCGGCACATACGAAGTTAAAACTGCGTCAAGAAGGCCAAGGGAGACCTGAAGATGTTCAAGGCAAAGATTTTAAACGTGCTTTGGAAGAGAAAGAGAAACGATTGGCTCAAGAAAAATCCGGTAAAAGTAAGTTTAATGAAATAAACTGGGGAAAAAATAAATGTGCATGTTTGCAGGATGCTGCATTTGAAAACTAATTCTTGCCTTATACATAGCCTCGTTACCACCTTGAAATAAAAAGATTAAACTATGTAGAATAAGAGACTTTACTATACACCGAAAAATTAAGCCTACCAACTTATTAGTTAGAACTGTTAGTCATAATGTAGATTTATTCTACCTAAGGTATTTGAAATTGCTTAAATCGATATTCAGAAATTTCGGATCATACTTCACTGTTTCAGTACCAATTTACAGCCAAAACGCCTAAGCCCATATTAGTCCTAAGTCTAAGTGCGGAACCAACCATTTTGATAGTTTCTATATCTCTATCTAACGGAAATACTTTAGTGGAGATGTGGCGCATTGGCTCAAGCATCACTCGACTTTCAGTCAATGGGTCTTGGGTTTGAGTCCCTCTCCCCCCCTACACAATAAGTGTGGCTTATAGCCCAGAGCTGGGTAATTGAGATTCAGCTAATTAACTAACTTCGGAAATACTTCACTAACGTATTTCATTTCATTTAAGGGATTTTGTGCTCACATCAATAAGTGATAAGTGAAGAGAAAACTCTGTCAATTCTATTGTTGTGTACAACAAAGCTGATAAAAAAAGTGACTTGCTACCATGCTCTTAATAAGGTAATGTGTGTGTGTATGTCTGTTTTTGTTTAGTAAATACTGTCAGTGTACTTGTGTTTTATTGATTACTTATTTAACACACCTGAATGGTACACTTATAAAGCTGATTTAGATTACAATCTCAAATTTTTTCAAAGCTATAGACACGTTTTATGGAGAAAAGTGTCAGTAGGAATGAAATCTGGGTCAATCAGTGTTCCTTATAGTGCATGACACCAAATAAAATAGTATTGTGTTGCTTAGCTCAGTGACTTTTTTTATTTTATTCCTTTGTATTCTGAGTGGAACATGGGGCCTCAGACTTGAGCTTTAAAGTTTCGGTAGCAGTGATTTTGTTTTCACGGGCTAGAGTTGCTAGCTCCCCGCCCGACTCCCCCTCTTTCCCGGGCTTGCTACCGTCTAGGCCAGGCTTAGGGGTGCGTCTGTCGGAGGTCGAACCTCAGGCCACATGCGTAGTTAGCGAGCATTCTACCGCCGCACTATCGACGCCAGTTGATAGGTTGATTTTAATATGTATTTAAGAGTAGTATAGCTATAATTTCTGTCAATATTTGAATACTGTTTGTGAAGTATCAATAATTATTAGTGTTATTTATTAGTTAGTTAATTTTTCCACTGTTATTTTTATCCCTTCTACAATAATCTGACTTAGCATCAACAAATGCTGTCAGTCAGCAGTCAGCAATTACTAGTGCTAAACGACCTAGTTCTGCTGCTATAATGCCATCAATGGATAGTAATACTATTGGCAGTATAAAGCGTCTCCGACCTGAAACAACAACTAATGTACCAACAAGTAATTTAGACGCTGATGATCCATGGGATGAAGACTATGATGAAGATCAAGACGATGTAGTTGTTAATAAGAAAACAACAAAGAATAAAGTTAAAAATCTCTCTGAAGTTAACTACGATCAAGATGCTGATGGTGATGGTAATAATAAAGCCAATGATGATGATGACGATAACGATGACACAGATGAAGATGACGATGACGAGGAGGAAGACGAAGAAATGCTTTTAGCGGAATTAGCCAAAATAAAACGTGAAAGAGCTGAAGAGGCGGCTCGTCTAGCTGCTGAAAGGAAAGCAGCTGAAGAAACTATACGTATGGAAAATATTCTTAAAGGAAATCCTCTTTTAAATTCGGCTAATTCAACAGGTAAACATTTTCAAGTTGTATTGCCATGTACATATATATTATATTACTACGAATAAGAGATTTCATTTGTAAAAATTTCATTCCTATTGCCAACTACTTAAGTAGATGCATATATATCAGCTAAGCAAAACCGGCTGATAGCTGCTACCTTGACAGAGCGGTGTGACTTGCATACTGTAACGACGGAACGAGTTACATTGGCTTGAATTAACGTTCCTGTAGGTCATACCATACCAGAAAGATCTTTTGGTTAGCGGCAGTTACTAACGTAGTTTAAGTCATTATAAATTATTTAAATTAACCCAGCGAGTTAAGAAAATCAAAACAGATTTTCTGAACGTTTCGCTGTGTAAGCCACAGCTTCTTCAGCAGATTTATTCGGAATTTTAGTAATCATCAAAATATATAGTCAAAAATTTTACATACATTAATCATATCTGAATTTATGACATTTATATATATATATATATATATATATGTCATTTATACTATTATAGGAGTCTGTGGGTAAAATTGTACTTCTGGTAAGTAGGAATGTAGCAGCAGTAAGATGTTTCCCTCAGATAACCATCAAGTTAGCTATTCTACCACTCCAAGCTGAGGAAAAAGGGTTAGAAAAGGTCAGTCCCTCAAAATTGTACATCCCAACTTACCTTGCAGTGATCCATAGCCGGTGGTAAGATCTTAATATGGACACAACTCCGAAAACCTACTTCGAACAGACCGTGTGTGACCGATATCAAGCAGTTGTTCCTTGAACTGTACGGTCATGCAACATTACTGCTCCATTCTATTCCAGACACTTCAAGAAGAAATCAAATTCCACGGTGTGTGCAGTCGGGAAGTAATAACCACCCACACACTTTCATGAGTACACTAAACTTTCCTGGTGATCACGCACCTTCACCCCTATCACTTTCGTCATCTTGCTTTCTTTCTGCTATTAATACTATATGTCACAGGCAGTCAAACCCTATTAAGAAGCTACAGATTTCGAAGCTGCAAATAGTCACACTAACGTATAAGGAAAATGCTAGTTAATAATTCAGTGCAATTTTCATAACATCTTTAAAACAACTCGTTATACTAACCAGCTGTTTAGACTGAATATTGTCAACTTCTACTTATTACTGTTCGGAGTTCTACTTATGTTGAAAATCAATGATTGTAGAAACCTATGACATACTATAATGGTGCAAATGTATTCACTTTCTATCATTCCCAATAGTTTCGCTAACTGTCATCAGTTAGAAAACTATTGAGAAACTAGGGAGTACTTGGTAGTTGTTTCTTCCTAGCTTGGGACTCTTCAGCAGGGATTTGAAACCAGGACCTTCTGGTTACAAGTCGAGTTCGTAGACCATTCAACTACTCTGACCCTATCTGATAGCCCATGAATTCGAATTTCAGCCAATCCGTGATATGTAGCGCTGTTACCAACCATTTAACCCTGGAAACTAACACTTGAGATAATTAATCTAATATCCACTAGTCACTGGCTGTATACAATAAGTTAATAGGAGTTCTAGTGAGAGTTCGTAACAGGTGGTGTCTACCAAGTTAAGTAAAACAACAGTTACTCACCTAAGACATCAGCTGGTGTTCGCGGTATATATCTCACGAATTACCAGAAGTTGGAATTCATAGGATATTGAATCAGGTCCCAATGGCTGAATCGTCTACAAGCTTACCTTGTAACAGAAAACTCCTGGGTTCTACCCCTGATGGAGTCATCAGTACGTACTACCGAAGAGTCTCGAAAAAAGACGAAACTGTTCTCCAGCTGTTAGAAGTGGTAGGCTTCTTTATTAACCGTAAAGTTATGATTTAGTGCATACGCTGACATGACAACCTGATTATTTATATGACATCACTATCCTTCAGAAAATTAAGCCGTAAATAGACGAATTAAGAACTGTCCAATCACATTATCGTGTCAGTGCATGCATAAATCATGGCTTCACGATTAACAAAGAAGCCTATCTATATTAACACCAGTACTCGCTGGTTTTCAGTATTTCTCTAACTGAAATCAATTCTAATCTCCTTGCAAACTAACACTTGAAAAATCTATATATTATTTTCACTATTTTTGTGAACACAGATCTAATAACTTGAATCTTTTTTTCTTTCCTATTCTTTTTTTTTATTTTATAGAATTCAAAGTGAAACGAAGATGGGATGATGATGTTGTATTTAAAAATTGTGCACGAGGTGAAGTCGACCATGTGAAACGAGGTTTTATCAATGATACACTACGTTCTGAATTTCATAAGAAATTTATGAAAAAATACATTCAGTAGTAACACTAATAATAATAACGATAATGAACATTTATATACAATATTATTTATGGAATAACTGAAGCCCTGACTACTACTCTGTAAATAAAATCAATGAATTATTTTCATCACTTATTTGTGTTTCTTTGTTTTGAGTGTGTGTGTGGGGGGCACGTTTGTATTTGCACAGATTGTATAGTTGTGTGAACCAGTTTAATAACATACAGTAATGATTTATGCATATGAATTATGCATTCGATACAAAACTGTAGAAGAAAAGCTTTTCTTAGTTGAAGTTCTCTGAAATGACTGTTACTTTGACTGACTGAGTTGCAGGTGTTCCCAGCGTGTGTATCTGTGTGTGTGTTGTGACTATATATTCTATGTGAATCGTAAGCATTATATATATAGTGTAACTTGAAGTCATGTATGCGCTAAATACTTTGTGAACTATTTGATTATTTATTTGTCAAGTCGAAATAAAAAGAGAGAGAGTGTGTTGTGTGTGAGTATGACCTCGTGTATTGACCTCAAAACCCATTTGTACTAAGAGTTTCACTTTGATGATAATTGCGAGACGGCAGGTAATCCTTCTTTTTGTCTATGTGATTAAACGCACTGATCTCACCAACAACAACGAAAAGAAATTTTAAGATTCCATGCAGAGAAACAGTTACAAGTATCGTCCATTTGATGAAAATTGTTCAAGTGTGATGATAAGTAAGTATTCATAATTTTAATCCTACTCTTGTGTGTATTCAACAATAATTCTTTATCGGTTATTGATTCGTTTATATGGCAATGTACATATATTGGGGTTGATATAGTATGCTTTTACTGGATGTCATTATGTGAACATTAAAAGTGTTTTTCTCGAAATGTTATCGAACAGTTACTGAAAGTAGGATGTTACAAAAGATGTGTGTATTATCCTACCCGCCTACTACCATCTTGTACACTCTTCAAATACTTACACATTCACATAATAAACTTCTATTTTGTTTTCATTCCCTATGGTATGAGTTGTTTTCATAAATGAATGTGTGATTAAACTGTTTAACATTTATTGTCTGTTAGTATATATGTCAAATACTTTTTTTCAGATGAAATTCATATACTACTATTTACATTGTTGTGAGTAGTGACTACTACTATTGCTACTTTTATTACACATTGCACTTTGTGTAAATGTTTATTATTATTATTATTATTTGTTCCCGCTTATTGCAAATATAAATAATGTTGATCACAAATATCCTGACTTCTGTCTTCTCTCTCTGTTTTATCTTTTAACTATGGTATTAGTTAATATGTGGGAATGGGAAATAGCCCCGTCAGACTAGTGTAAATCACTTATTACGTCAATTCATAAGAAGGGAGATAAGTCTTAGTGTGATAATCATAATGAGATAAGCTTGACTATTGTAGTGCGTAAAGTGAGTGGTGGTGCTTGGGTGAAAAAAACTTGGAAAAACCAGGAAGGCTTCAGGCTGGGATGAGGGTGCACTGGTCATATTTTCACCCTTTGACAGATCCTGGAACATAGATATACTAACCGACGTCCAACACGTCATATTTCCTGACCTGAAAGCGACATTTGATTCTGATTCGACCAAGAGGTGTTGTGGCAATACTTGGTCGTGAATAGAGTACAGTCATCTGAAATGATGCCAACCAGTGATTTCTTTCAAGGATGCCTACTGTTCCCACTTTTGTTTAGTTCCATCATAGATGTAATAATGGAATTATTCCTAACTGATTTTAGCGACTGGCTTGTTATCAGGGAACAATCTCGTCGACTTAAAGTATACGGATGATATTGTCTTTCTGGGTGATGGCTGTGACCAAAATGCAGATTCTTCTGTATTCTCTGATCATAAATCTTGGTAGGTTTAACATGCAATTTTCCCCTACCGGTCAAATGTAAGATAGTGGTAGAGGACCTGTCTGCACTCATTATCTGAATTCCTAAGAAAGGAGATAAGCCTTCATGTGATAATCACATTGGTATTAACTTGACTAGCGTAGTGTGTCTAAAGTTGTAGATCTATGTGTAGACTGGGCGATGGTGCTTGAGTGAAACAAAATCAGAAAAACCAGGAAGGCTTTAGTTTAGAACAAGGGTGCACTGATCATATATTCACCCTTCGGCAAGTTGTGGAACATAGGCATAACTACCATTGTCAAATATCTTGATAAGAAGCTAGCATTTAACTTCTTCGACCCAGAGTTGTTGTAACAATGTCTGCTCATGAAGGGAGTATCGAGAAAGTATAGCGCACTAATCAAGGTACTCTACTCAAAACTCACAGCCAGGTAGGAGCTTATGGCGAGATACCTTCTGAAGTGATGCCCACTGTCCCGGCTTTTGTTTAATTTGATCATAAATGCATTAATGGCATTGAACCTGACTGATTTTAGTGATGTAGGAATTGGCTTGTTACCAGAGGACTGTCTTATCAGTCTAGAGTATTCAGGGAATATAGTTCTTCTTGGTTAGGATGCTGAAAAATGCAGTCTTCTTAACTCCTTGAACAGAAATATTGATGTTTTTTCATGAAATCTGCTCCTGTAAAATGATGCTGCAGAGCTGGACTACACTAACTCCTAGTCTAAAGATTGAGAGTGAAGTGGTAGAGTGTGTTGACCAATTTACCTACTTAGGAGATTGCATCAACCCTAATAGACTGATTGCTGTCTGTCTGTCTGGATTCAATATAGAACTTGGCACCGAAGTGCAGCAGTTCGAGTTGCCAAGTTCCAAATAGCACGCAAAGGAGACAAGAAGATGAGCGAAGAGAATCAATAGAGTTTTGACAAGTATAAGAGTGAAGCAGAATGAGTAATGGTAGAAAGGAATATGAAAGATTACAGAGACTGAATACATCTGCGTAAGCCATTGACAACGATTTTGAGCCATGTCACCTATTGTCTCCAGCCATTGATTCTTAGAGTCCCGAGGGCCCCAACCCGGAAGTCTGCATCTCCCTACCTGACTCAGTTTAACTGTCAAGGATTTCATGGATTGATGCCATGTTTTGTTTGGCCACCACTTTTTTCCAACTTGCACCTATATCGGCTAGTAATGCCCGTCGGGGGAGGCGATGGCTAGGCATGCGCAGCACGTGACCTAGCCATCTCAATCTATATAACTTTATAGCCTCGTCGATTGATTTTCCCTCTTTGCCCAACACTCTACGCCTAACGTCAACATTACTTACCTTATTATACCACCTAACGTGAAAAAGAGATCGTAGACATCTGTGATCAAAAACAGTCAACCTTTTCATGTCTTCAACTCGTATTGGCCATGTTTCAGAGCCATAGAGAAGAACGGAGCGAGCTGCTGAGCAGAATACACTTCCCTTGGTTGATAGCCGGATGTCACGCCTACTCCAGAGATGGCGTAAGTTAGCGAAAGCTACTGATTGCTGACGAAACATCAGCACACATGGGAAAAGCTAGTGTAGAATTTGCAAACTTACGTCATCTCTAGCGTAGATGTGATATGCGACTGTCGATCAAAGGACATGCGTTTCACGAAATACTTCGTTCTATCCTCCCTCATCGATGTAAGACACAGCCATTGAAAAAGGAAGATATGAAGAGGCCGGTTGTCTTTGACTACATATGCTTGTATTCTATTTCCCATGTTAAGTGGTAATACTGAAGTTAGGCGTAAAGTGTTAAGTAAGTAGGAGAAGTCAGCTGATGAGATTGTGAAGGTGAATTGATTGAGATGGTTAGGACACGTGTTAAGCATGTTTAGCCACCGCCTTCCTTGTCGGGCAAAATTTGTGAAATATATAGGAAAAAAGTGGTCTATTATCAGTCGATGAAGTCTTTAGCAGTTGGTTTCAGCCAACCACGTAGGGCGTGTGAACTATCTGGATGAGGTCCTTGAAAAGCTAAGAACCAATCGCTGGAGACTGTTGGTGATTTGACTCGAAATCGTTCTCAATAACTCTGATGAATTCACTCTATGAGCTCCTGGATCCACCAAATTCTCTATATTCGTATGCTTTCTCCCGTTCATTATGGTTCTTTTGAATTTTTTCTCTGCCTTTGTGCGCTATGTGGTGTGTAGCAACTTGAACTACTATGCAGTTTTGTACAGACTTCTACGTCGAAAGTTCACTTTTATCTTCTAGTTCACTAGTACTCGGTTATTGCAAACTAAAATCATCATTCATACAAGAACAGAATTTGATCAATATAGCAGAGTATGGTTCTGTTCTGGAATACATAATTTTATTTCATAAAAACTCTGGTATAGTATTATTTACTGTTAACTTCATCACATCACTATGTTGTCTGGAAATACACAAGAACATCTTCCAATGTGATTGTCAAGAGGAGAAATCTGGCCAATCGGAGGCTCAATTCTTAAGCGCCTTGTTCTTACGCGTCGTTTTTCATCGATACAGAAATTGTTTTTCAAAACAATATATGAGGTAAAACAAAGACGTCAAAATGGTTTTGTGGTTACGTCTGTAGTTTAAGTCATATAATAGTGACCCAAGAGAACGAATGACACTGAGGTTGTCAATCGGAGTATATTAGGCTGGTTTAGGTGAAAAACAGAATTTTCTTGAGCTAAAACTCAAAAATAAGAGAGTAATAGTGTAACGGTAAAAGACGAGAGATTTAATAAAGGAATATCCATTTGCAACTTGGTATCTTCATATAGCCGAATTATCTACACCCTATCTCCAAATCACCATTTGCACAGATCTCCGTGTTGTGCTACTTCTCACCTTTCTTCATATTGTGTTTCTTTTTGCTCCTTTCACGTCTCCCATGTATCTCCGCAAGGCTGTATAATTTGCTTTATCTGATATCAAATCTAAACCCCAGCAACTTGATGTTTTTATACTACTGATAAGATTTATCAGTAGCACATGACACAATAGTGTTAAACAGGATGTCTTTCTGTGGAACGTTGCAAAGGAAACTTCCAGTTTCCTATAGAAGTGTCGATATCCAGATGACTATTGGTTTACAGTCAGGAACTGTAGTTTGAAGTTAGGGTTAAGAATTATTGGTTACAGTTTAGTTCAAATGAAATCTCCCTAAATCCTAAACACAGTTCATTATATATCATTACCCCAATTTATACATTAAAAGTTCTATGCAAACTCCGACTTACCACTTCAGTCATTTGTGTACACGTTATCCTGGGTGACTATTCTCTAACTTTTCCCATCTGTGTATAGACCTTGGTATACCAAAATAAAACCTTGAATTCAAAGGAGGTATACGTAGCGAAATAATTACGAAGAAGTTAAGAAAATCAGTCCAAAGAACTTTTAGTGCTGACAAACTACAAGTCTTATTTTCTACACGATCGATAGTGATTCCTCATTTGAAAGATGAAGTACCTAGACTAACCACTTCTGATTATATTCACCAATTCAACATGAAGCTTGTGGAGCAAGTTATATAGGCCGTTGATCTAGGAATTTGATTTTTCGTGCTCGGGAACATTTATCGATGTGGCTAAATAAAGGCGTAGTGACAAGCGTCACCAGCTCGATATTAGAACACCTGGCCACAAAGCTAATATTGAAGAGTCCTTCATCATCTATCAGGTACCATATAAATTGCCAAAAGCATCGAGGTACCGCATGCTTTAAACAGCAGAGGCTATTGCAATTCGCCTCAAACAACCAGTGCTCTGTGTTCAAAAGAAGCAAGTCCAGCCCCTACTACTGCGCTGGCCCTCAGCAGAAACTATAAACTCATGAATTTGTAATATTATCTTTCCTAATTCTTCTGACATTCAGCTTATTTTATGTTGATGCTATTCAGCTGTAATCTATCAATATTATTGATTCGATGTTATTTAAACATTAATGTTGTTCATAACACTAA